CACACACACACACACACACACACACACACACACACACACACACACACACACACAGGCACATACTCAGCTTTATCCATATATGCATGCCATTTAGCTTGGATAGCTTCTGTGGGAGCATATATGTTTCATTTTCACTCAAATAACATCAACAGACGGACACACACACACACAGACACATGCACACGCACGTTTATAGCCCATCCAGACACAATGGACATTAGCGGCTCAGCTTGCCGTCAGACAGAAGGCGAAGTGATGCAGAGCAGAGGGAGGGACGGATGAAAAATGGAACTTATCCTCTTACTCCCTCTCTCTTGTCATCCCCTCCCCACCTTCTTTCACCCCCCTCTTCTTTCCTTCTTTCTTCCTGCTTATATCCTATCCGTCACTTGTTTGGAGGACACAGCAGATGTCGGTTTGTCCCTCGAGGTGAGCGGGCGCTTGTGCTGCCATCTTTTTCCTCCTTATCGCGGTACAGTTTCCCACACAGACTGCAAGAGAGCCATGAATCACACGTGCACGCCACGCTGGTTTTGAGTTGGGGAGTGGTGTGTGCATGTGTGGGTGGGGGTAGTGGGGGGGTAATAATGTTTTGTTCCAGTAAATCACATGTTTCGTGAGTCTTGTACACAAACGCATACGCACGCTGCTGCCATTTGGTATCCGAGCAGTGCTCAGAGTTATGCTGTGAATACAGGCGGAGCAGTTGGTTGCTCGTAACACGGTTAGGGCCTACACCATTTGTCTGGACATGACCATTACCCAAGCCAATTACTGGCTGGTGTACCGGCGACTCGCCAACAACCTAATGTTTTCCCGTCATGGCTGCCCCCACCGGCCCGAAACCCCTTCCTTTGCAAACACACACACACAAGCAGAAGGAGGTGGGGGGGGGGGATAGAGAGGAAGGATGGAGAGCCTGAGGCAAAAACCCCCACCCCATCGACTTGACTGACTGATACACCTAATAAACTTTCATTTAAGCTAATGTTCCTCTTTTTTCCCCCCTCATCTTCTCACCATCCCTCCCCCTCTCGCTTTTCTTACTTTTTTTTCTCCTCATTGCTACTCTCCTCCTTTCCTCCTCTGTTTTTCAATTTTTCTGTCTGTGCGCCAGAAGAAGGGCCTGCCCGAGCAATCGATGCAGGCAGTCCACCAACCGGAAGCCCAGTTGGCCGAACAGCACACCACTCAATCAGTCTGAACAGCAACACCCAGGGTTTCTGGCAACCAACTGAGGTAGACGCACTCTCGCTATATATACAGCAGTAGATCCTGAACTGAGCTCATTTGATAAATCATGTACATATCCTGCAACAGCAGTAAATGTCATGCACCAAGTTTTATATATCGAAACGAAGCCAAATGAATCAACAGCAATACATCAAACATTCACACTCATCTCTTAAATAGCGCAGACATGCCAGAGTGTTTTGGAACGGAGACTCTTTGCCACCGCCAGCCCATATATCTTTGAATACTCTAGGTGATATGCTAATTTAACTTTCAGACAAAACAGCTGTTTGTTTTCCTTCTATTTATAGGCTTTGTCTGAGACCACAGCTGGCTCAGTATGTACATGTGTGGTTTTCCCTGTACTGGTTACTGTGTCAGTATGTGTTGACAGTGGACACGCTCTGTACAACCACACTGTTTGTAGTTGCTTTACTTTCACTGGTTTCGTGTGCAGAAGATGCAGTGTGTGTGTGTGACTGAATTGTAAATTTTATGTGAGGTTTCATTGCATTCATGGCATTGTGTATTTTTTGCTAACCTTAATATATGTAAGTGGTGTATTTCTTCTTAGTTAATCCGTTGTAAGTGTGCAGTACAAAGGGGTTTCTGCTCTTTGTCTCAATTTGTGTCGAGTTGGGAAAAGGCAGGAATTCCCCCCCCCCCCTTTTTTTTTCCCCCTTAAAAATAGTACCTTGATCTTTTCTCCATTTGTTTGATTAATGAGAGCTGCATATTCCCATCATAATAAGAAACTATAGCTTTTGCTCACGGAAGTGAGTAGTTATTTTTAGTGCTGCAGTTTATGATTTCATAAGCTCCTTTCAGACACGCGCTCCTTTTCATTCATCTGACAGCATCTCGGCGCATTGGCTTCGTGTCTGTCACAGCTTTTACAGAAAGGAAAAGCTGTGACAAGCATGCTAGTTTTGAACCTGTAGCACATGGTTACCCTTGAGACTTGGTGACCTAAACAGCCTAGCTAAATCTAAATCAGAAATGTAATGTTCTGTGCTTCAATCTGCTGATATTTTTTTTTCCTTTAGATTTCCAAATATTTCTTCACCTCAGGTTTTGGATGGATCAGAGCGAATATTATTACTGCCTTAATATAAAGAACAGTAATCACAGCCTTTAATATAAGGACTCAGATATGTCAACAGGATTCCTGGGTGCAGATTGCTGAAACTGTCGGATTGAATGTGAGTGAATGTATGAAGGAGTAGAGAAACTTCAGGGGCAAACATCTTTCCCCTGAAGGGGGAAGAAGTCTCAGGGTTTTATTTGTTTTTATAATGCCTGGCCCTGCATAAAACACCGGGACATGACCACAAGGTTATTAACTGCACGCGCGGCTCAGCTACGGAGTCTACATCGTAGCCTCATATGATTCAGCTCTTGAGGTTGAATGAAATGGTCCTATTAATGAAGAAGCATGCACAAGTTTAGAACTGAGTGTACTTTTTCTGCATCTTTGGGGATGAACTCTCCAAAGTAACTTTTCATGTATGTTGACTTTCCCGTCATTATAGATTAAATTGCCTATAAAACACTACTTAAGAGTAAATTATTTACCTGAGCGAATAAAAAGTCTGCGGCAGCACAGATTAACATGACTCAGCAGTAATAGCTACAGCATGAGTTAGTTTGGGTAGCTGCTTTTAGTCTCACTGCCAAGTTTATTTCATACCTGCAGCTATAGGAATTCGTTAGTTTCCAAAGATAGAGTTGCATGCAGTACTTGCTCCTGCTGTTCTACTTTAAACCTTAGAGTGTTTAAATTTCAGTGTCAAAAAGGAAACTAGAACAAAATGATTACTGATTAATCTGATCAGTAATCTGATCTGATAATAACTGTTTATCGGCTGGAGTATCTAAAAATGTCACATCCTAAGCTTCTCTAATTGAAATAATTAAGGCGGTTACGTTAGGTCACTAACCAAAGTAAACCATAGCAGCTCAGTGTCTTCAGATGCCATATGTATTAACAAGGAGAAGAAGAAGAAACCCCTGTGCACACATGATGTCAGCAGGCAGACAGTGCACTGGTGTTAATGACACTCTCTGGTCTGCTTCTTTCAAGGACCTTCACTAACTCTTGATACATTAGTGTTTTCTCCGCTGAGTGCTTAGCAGTGTGAAGTAGAATTGCTTTATTTCCCTCCTTTACCCATTGACCTGCAGGTTCTATCACTTTGTTGTATGCTTTATGTATCCTCTGCTTTCTCTTATTTAAGTGTTTAAAGGGAGCAGAGACTTTACCGCTACTTCTTCAATGTGTGGGTGGTTTTCCTCCATATTTTGACATCGAGATTTCTGCCTTGCAACCTATACGATTAGCCAAGCCGCATTTCTGCAACATGTACAGACTTCAAAGAACTCACCCCACCCAGCTCTATATGATGCAGCGCTGCTGTCTCCTCATCCATCTGAAAGTGTAGGCTCGGTATGCTTTGTAGCTGGAGGTGTGCTACTGTAGGCGAGGTAGACAGTCTTTGTATTTTTTTTTTAATAAGTTGGGCAATAACAATAAATCCTACAGGCTAATCACACACTCACCAATAACCCGCCCTCCCCCACTGAATGCAGAGCGATGCAGCATTACTCTGCCGCCGCCTTCAATTACGCCATTCATCATGCATCTTATCTGGCCGCCGGTTTGATTGAGTGTGCAATGGGAGGCACTGCAAACCCTGCATTCTCTATACCGCCGTGTGTGTGTGTTTATGTGTTGGGGGTGTTGACAGGAATGGAAAACTGCATTTGGGGGGGATGTGGGCACATGCGAGTGTATATAGGATTTATTGGGATGTATGATCGTGCGTAGAAATGTGTGAGTGAGAGCACGGCAGATCTACAGAGGTGTATAAATCAAACCGGATGATTGTCCTCCCACTCTGATCCACTCTGTCTCAGCAAGTGCATTCCACTTTTTTCCCTTTTTTTTTCATTTCTACTGTCCCTGTGCTTCCTTCCGTCTCTCTCTGTCCTTTTTTTCCCTTCCAGCTCCTCCTCCTCCCCCTCCTCTTCTCCGTCTTCTTCTCTGTAACAGATTTGTCTGGGGGCCCCTGTCTAATCTCCAGCAGTGCCGGGTGTTGGGAGACGGGCGACAAATTTTAATAAGCAACTGGGCGCTGTAATTTAGCGGCCTGGGAGGGAGATTAAGCTGATTGATGCTGGGCTCGCCTAATGGTCCAGCCTACGGCTCCCAGCCCAAATTGGTGGTAATGAAAGTTTTGTGCAAATTGAGATGGAAGAAAATAAGGCATCCTCTCGTCTTCCCTCACTCTCTCTCTATCTTCATTCATTCTTTGTATTCCTCTCTCAGTTTCTAGCTCCCTGTTCATTTTCTCCTCTGCTCTCAATCTTTTTGACAAGGTGCGTCTTTCCCTCTGTCTCCCTCCATCAAGCCCTCTCTTTCCTCCCCTCCTTTTATTCTTTATCTGTTTCACTTTCTCTCTTTCAAGCTGTCCTTCATATCCTCCATCATCATTCATGCCTTCTTGGCTCTTTGTCTTTCTTATCCTCTTTCATGCTCATTGCTTGCTCTGCCTCTTTACCAAAATCGATTTGTCCCTCATCTGCTGTCTCTCTCTCTCTATATTTCGCTCTACGCTGTCAGTAGTTTTTCTCAGGCACGCTTAACTCCGTTCAGTATGTTTTTATTTATTTCACTCACAGGCTCATTTGCTCCCTCCCTCCTTTCTTGGCTGTAGAAGGAGTTTGTGTGCCCTTGTGGTTTGCAGCTGGTGCAGGAGGTGTTGTCTGCATCGCTCCTGTGTTGTCAGGTCAAATTCATCTAGATCTGCAGAGAGATGTCAGGAGAGGGCCTGATGGCTGTCTAATATTTTCTTTCTTTTTTTTTTCCCTCCTCTGCTTTTTCTTTTTCGGCCCTCCAAATTACTTACAGCTGGACCGTCACTCTGACGGGCTTCATCTGCCTTGCATTATTAGGCTGTGGAGACACTTTACAGGGTATGGCGAATGTGTGTCTGTGTCCAGCACCTTGTCCTACTGGCAAACTGTGTTTTATTCAATGTATTTGTCAGATTGTTTTATGATACTTCAGTTCCAAATCGTATCAAGCAAATCTGTTTAGTTCCGACAGAATTGGTTGTCTGAGGGTTGAATTTGTTATATTTTCTGCTCTATATTTATATAAGAGTGGTAACGTGTAACAGCGGTTTTGTTTCAGATAGGATTCGAAGCAGTGAGGATTTCTATGGCATCAGGGATGAAAGAGGCCCCCCCCCCCCACAGAAGCAGAAACTTCATAAAGTTAATGTACAAAGACGCAGTGCCACTGATATCTGTGTTGTGTGGTGAAGGAGCATGGAGTGAGCTCACTGCACCAAGGATGTTACCTTAAAATGACTTCTGTATGGGTGTTTGTATGAGGCACAGGAAACTAGGGTTTCATAAGTCTTGCATGAGCAAATCAGTGTCCTTACTAAATCTTCAACTTTCTCTGGCCACCACTCCCTTAAGCGAGAGAAACAGAGAGAGGGAGAGAAAACTGTATGCATACTGAATGAAGGGAAGTTGAGAGTGGCCTCGGGGAAAATGAAAACAGCAGCTATTAACATGAAGTGATGGTGGTGGGTGGGGGGAAGGCAGTGCTAATCCACTGGTACTGGAACACTGCGGTACTGTATGTAGCATTAGATATTTTTGCTGTTATGAAATCCCCCCTGAGGACGGATGTGATGTTGTAAACTCACACGGGATTTCTGGCCCTCGAGGACTTAAGCGTATGATGTGTTTACATGTACTGCATAAGTTTGTGTATAGATGTTTGTGTAATTTATTGAGGTTGTGCAGACATGTGACCATGTGACTACCTGGCAACCACTGGTCGTGAGGGGAGAAATGAGTATTACCCAACTGGTTATGAGTAGTTTTGGCAGTCGCTGGGAAAGTGATTGCTAAAGACCCAGTCACACAGGCCTACAGGCCGGGTCATGACCCCTTGGCTACCACATGTTAGTAAGAAAAATGTGTATTCC